AGAAAAATGTGGCATCAGAACTGGAGGGAGACTCATTAAAAACCTGTGACATGCAGATGACACAACCTTGCTTCCCAAATGTGAAGAGGACTTGAAGCACTTACTGATGAAGATCAAAGACCACAGCCTTCGGTATGGATCACACCTCAACATAAAGAAAACAAAATCCTCACAAATGGACCAATAAGCTATATCGTGATAAACGGAGAAAAGAATGAAGTTGTCAAGGATTTCATTTTACTTGGATCCACAATCAACACCCATGGTAGCAGCAATCCAGAAATCAAATGACACATTGCACTGGGCAATCTGCTGAAAAGACCTTTGTAAAGTGTTAAAAAGCAAAGATGTCACCTCGAAGACTAAGCTGTGTCTGACCCTACCCATGGTGTTTTCAATCACCTCATACACATGTGAAAGCTGGACAATGAATAAGGACAGCCAAAGAAGAATTCACGCCTTTGAATTATGGCATTGGTGAAGAAACTGAACATGCCTTGGAGAAGAATGCTGAATATACCTTGGATTGCCAAAAGAATGAACAAATCTGTCTTGGAAGAAATACAGCCAGAATACTCCTTAGAAGCAAGGATGGTGAGACTACATCTCACATACTTTGAAGTGTTATCAAGAGGGATCAGTCCCTGGAAAAGGACATCATGCTTGGTAAAGCAGAGGGTCAGCAAAAAATAGGAAGACCTTCAATGAGACAGACTGACACAGTGGCTGCAACAATGGGGTCAAGCACAACAATGATTCTGAGAAGGGTGCAGGACTGGGCAGTGTTTCTGTCTGTTGTAGGTAGGGTCACTATGAGTTGGAACCGATTTGACAGCACCCAACAACAACAACAATGAATGTCTTGAAGAGATTGTTGGCGGAATTGTGGATCTCAAAGACAATTCTGGTGAAGACTCAGAAGGAAGTGAGGATAGCCATTACACTTCAGAAGGTGCAGATGGTGAGAAGCAACAGCAGCAGAGAAACTTCAACAGCAGAACCAGGAGACCAACTGAGAAAGCACTGGAGCCGACCCACGGAGTGAAAGAGCAGAGTCCCTTTGCATAGGAGGCTTCCTGGCAGAGTGGGGTGCCTCCAGGCACTTATAAGTGGGGCTAAAGAGCTTTGAAACACTTGCCCCAGCGCGGCAGATGCACCCAAGGGGCCTAGAGGCCAACGAACCAGGAAGCAAAAGCTGAGGAGACAAGGAATACAGGAAGCAGAGCTGCCGCAGTCTCAAAGCACAAGACAACGACCTCTGAAGTCTCAAAAGGTCTCAGATGGACTAGCAGAATGGTGCCACCAGAATCTGAGAGAGCAGAGTTGCCATTCCCATGCACCTGGAAGGTGGAGCTGAAGCCCAGGGCTGAAGTGCCTCACTCAAAGAATCAAGAGAGTGTGTCCAATACCTAGTCTGGAGGGCAGGACCATTGTCTAAACGGACTCAGAAAACAGAGGACTATTTTCAAGCCTTAAGGGCTAATATAAGGTTCTGCTGACTTGCTTGGTACCTGTCATCCATGCCTTCCCTCCAATTTCTCCTGTTTGTAATGGAAATGTCTAGCTTGTACCTGTTCCACCATTGTGCTTTGGAAGAAGGTACTTTGTATTCTAGATTTCAGAGATAAAGAGGAATTTTTGGATTTTAGACTTGGAGCTGATTTAAGACTTTTGCTATGATCTGATGGGGTGAACGTGTCTTACATGTGGCAAGGACATGAATTTTGTGGGGCCAAAGGGTGGAATGTCACAGATTGAACTGTGTCCCCCAAAAATATCTGTCAATTTGACTAGGCCATGATTCCCAGTATTATGCGACTGTCCGCCATTTTATCATCTGAAGTGATTTTCCTATGTGTTGTAAATCCTACCTCTATGAAGTTAATGAAGTGGGATTAGAGGCACTTACGTTAATGAGGCAAGACTCAATCTATAAGATTAGGTTGTGTCTTAAATCAATCTCTTTTGAGATTAAAAAGAAGTGAGCAGAGGAACATGGGGACCTCACACCACCCAGAAAGTAGTGCCAGGAGAAGAGTACGTCCACTGGACCCAGGGTCCCTGCGCTGAGAAGCTCCTAGTCCAGAGGAAAACTGATGACAAGGACCTTCCTCCAGAGCTGACAGAGACAGAAAGCCTTCTCCTGGAGCTGGCATCCTGAATTCAGACTACTAGGCTGTCAGAGAATAACTTCTGTTTGTTGAAGCATCCACTTGTGGTATTTCTGTTACAGCAGCATTAGATAACTAAGACACAAGGGAATATTATAAACTGTATGCCAACAAATTGGATAACTTGGATGAAATGGGCATATTCCTAAAAAAAAAAAAAAAAAAAAAACAAAAACTGACTCTTGAAGAAACAGAAACTCTGAACAGACTTATAACAAGCAAAGAAACTGAATTAGTAATTTTTTCCCACAATAAAAAAGGAGATGAAACAATTACCAGAACCCAGAAGGAGAAGAGTCATATAGAGTCTACCAACTTACGAGGTGCCATGAGCTTCAGTGGAGGGACACAGCCAACTCTCTTGCAAGGAAAGAGTCAAGGGAATAAACACCCTAGCCTCACTCTCCTCTCTCCCTACAATCTCCTGCCAGGGCTCCCCTTCGGTCAAAACCAACTAGAAGTCAGAAGTCCCTGGATGTAGAAGAGTGAAGATTAGATCTGGAGGAGTAAACTAAAGAAGATATCCAGCACAAAAAGCTAATTTCCTGGCTCTTGTACTTTGGAAATATTCTGAATGGAAAAAAGAACTGCAGGAACCAGAGCCTAGTACTGAGGTCTCAACATTGTCAGGTCTTCCCACTTCTCTCAGTATGCTGACCTGCTTACCTCCTACATCAGGGGCTCCCTGTTAACTCTGCATGGTGGAGACTGAAACTGCTGCCAGCCTGGTCATAGCAACCCCAGCATTATGAGGGCCTCTCTCTTTAAATGGTTGTTTCAACCTTAAAAGAAAAACCTCTGATTGGTCCTATGAGGTCACATGCCTACCCCTGAACCAATCACTGTGCCCAGGGCAGGGGGGTACTCAAAATTGGCTAGCTGTGAATCCTATGCCCACTCTTGTCGATCTGAGGTTTGTGAGCCCACAGAGCTAACCCCTCCATCTCTTTCCTGTAAATTCCCTTCTTTTGACTAAGCTAGTCACAGTTGCATTCTATTTGGAATCAAAAGAACCTTAATGCGGGCTGAAAGCAACCATGATCAACCATCATCTGGACAGGAAGAATGAGTGAACCACACTTCTGAGTATGGCTCAGTCTGTTCTAAGTTTTCTTTCTCAGAAAATAACTTTAGAAATGCAGTTTACAAAGAATATTTTCATCTAGTGTTCAATTAAGAAGGAAGCGCAGGAGACTAGGAGCTAGAACAAGGTTAAGATCCACTCCTTGGTATATACCCAAAAGAATTGAAAGCAGAGACTCAAAAAGATACCTGTACGCCAACGTTCATAGTAGCATTATTTACAATAGCCAAAAGGTAGAAACAACCCAAGTGTCCCTCAACAGATGAATAGATAAACAATGTGTGGTATACTGATACAATGAAATATTATTCAGCCATAAAGAAAAATTAAGTTCTTATACATGCTATGACATGGATGAACCTTGAAAGCACATTATGCTGAGTAAATGAGTTAAGACACAGAAGGACAAATGCTAGATAACTCCACTTACGTGAAATACTTAGAAAAAGCAAATGCATAGAGGTAAAAGTTTATTTCTGGTTAGCAGGAACTAGAGGGAGCGGAAAATGGGGAGTTATTATTTAAGGGGTACCGAGTTTCTATTTAGAGGGACAAAAAACTTTTGAAAATAGAGTGGTGATAGCTGCAGAACATAGTGAAGGTAATTAAGTCACTGAACCGTACATTTAAAAACAGTTAAAATGGCAATTTTTTTGTTACATATATTTTACCACAGTAAAAAAATGTTAATTACTAAAATGAGACATATTTTAGAGGGTTAGGAGCTGGTTGAATGGACATGGGAAATCAGGGGTGGAAAGGAGGAGTGTGCTGTCACAGTACAAGGATAGCAATTAGGGTCACATAACAATGTATCTATAAATTTTTGTGTGAGACACTAACTTGAAATGTAAACTTTCACTTAAACTACAACAATAAAGATCTGTCTTTAAAAAAAAATACATATTTTATCATCACTCTGGAAAGCAAAACTATATGTAATTCTCAATATCCATAGCTTTAATGTTTTTAGAATCTTAACTAATCTTTGTTTTTTAATATTAAACTTCATAGTTACCAACTGGCTATGTAAAATTAAAAAAAAAAGAAATGAGGTTGTAATACACACTACAACGTGGATGAACCTTAAAAACATTATGCTAAGTGAAGCCAGACCCAAAAGAGCAAATATTGTATGATTTCACTTAAACGAAATATCTAGGATAGGAAAGTTCATAGAGATAAAGTATATTAGAGGTTATCTGGAACTGGGGGCAGGGGAAATAGGAAGTTATTACTCAATGGATACAGAGTTTCTGTTTGGGGTGATGAAAAAGATACTGGTGATCACTGTGCAACATTATGAATGTAATTAACGTCACTGAATCGTATGCTTAAAAACAGCTAAAGTGGCAAATTTTGTTATATATATTTTACCATAACACAATTAAAAACAAAAAACAAAAACAAAGAAAGTTACAGTAGCCAATCACAGCATTGATGTAGTAACTCCTAACCTCACTAACCACTCCTAAACACTTCTGGTCAAAATCAGAATTTTAATGATGGGTATTTTCACACATTCAAAACACTTTTTGACTATAACATAATGTATGAAATGCGCATTATACTCTAGATGAGAAATTCAAAGTATCAATGACAAAAGAAAAAAATTCTTATTCCTAATTCCTACCTCGCCCATTCATGATTTAGGAAAAAGGTTATTCCCTCACAAAGTGTTTACAAACTTTTATACGGACCATAATTACAGTTATCTTTTTTTTTTGACAAAAGTCATCACTCACCTGGAGTCGATCTTCTTTTCCATTCTCCGTTTAATCTCTTTTTAATGGAAGTTCAGACAGTGGCTTAATATATACTTCTTAGTGAGCAGATTCTTCATGAATCAAAAAATCTTTTATTTTCCCCTTTTAACTACAAGAAAAAGGGTGAAAATCTTTGATGGTTATGAGGGAGGGGTGGGGAGAGGAAATCACTAACTAGATGGTAGACAAGCATTAACTTCGGTGAAAGGAAAGACAACACAATACTGGGGAAGTCAGCACAACTTAACCAAGGCAAAGTCATAGGAGCTTCCTAGACACATCCAAACACTGTAAGGGACTAAGTTACTGGGGCTGAGGGCTGGGGACCATGTCCTAAGTGAACTGGCATAACATAGTTCGTAAAGAAAATGTTCCACATCCTACTTGGGTGACTAGCGTCTGGGATCTTAAAATCTTTCAAGTGGCCACCTAACATAAGTATATTGGTCCCATTCCACCTGGAGCAAAGGAGACTGAAGAAAACCAAAGACACAAGGAAAATATTAGTCCAAAGAACTGGTGGGCCACATGAACCACAGCCTCCACCAGCCTGAGCCCCAAAGAACTAGATGGTGCCCAGCTTCCACCACCGATCACTCTGACAAGGATCACAATAGAGGGTCTTGGACAGAGTCGGAAAAAAATGTAGAGGAAAATTCAAATTAAAAAAAAAAAAACAGGAAAAAATGCCGCTCTAGGTAGAAGCACCACACCATCCCTCCACAGCAAAGATACGAGAAACTAAGCCAAACAGAGAATACAACAATCCTGAAACCCTAAAACATCAAATGAAGAGATAAAGAACTCAGC